GCTCCCTTTGAAACTCCTCAAGGGCAAAAGTATCATGTCTATTCATCTTTGTATCCCTTATTGACTGGTAGAGTGTCTTGGATGGAGTAAGCACTTAAACAACATTTGGATTTAAATGATGAATTTCTTGAGGCCCAGACAAATGAAACATACTCAGTTTTACTGGTGTGGGCACAAAACTTATTTTTTTAAGAGAATAAAATAATGCCATATATTTTTTTTTTACTGTGTTTAGAATTTGTTGCCTTTTCATGATTCCAGCCACACAGTGGGCAGATGCCTTCAGGGACTTCTTTCTAACAACTCCCAGATCCCTTTCCTGTGCCAGCACTGACAGTTTGGAGACTAACATCTTGTGAACAGCATTTGGCTCATTTTCTCCTAAATGCAGTACTTTATTCTTGCTCATGTTGAAGCTCATCCATCACTTCTTCACATGGAAATATAGGCTTGAGGGGGCTTCCTGCCATTTCTGCATTGACTTCCACTATTCAAAGTGTGCAAAGAATCAGTATCTCACTTATCAATTTTTAAAAATGTATTTGCATTTAATAAACACGTGTACAGAGCTTACTATGTGATGGGCACTATTCTAAGTAATTTATAAATATTAGCCCATTTAATAAAATTAATCCTGGTCCCACTTTGGGGGCTCTCACTTTCCATTTCGTCATCCTCTTCTATTCGGGGTTCTTCATTTAGAGTCTGTAGGTAGAATTTAGGGAGTCTGTGAATTTGGATGGAAAATTACATTTATATTTTCACTAACCTCTAACTGAAATTTAGCATTTTCTTCCATTATAAATGTAGGCATCCAGCTACAGGTGTATTAGCAGTACCTGTGACTTTTTCACCAGCATCGCGGATATTTGTATATCACAAAACATTGCACATAAAATGTTTATGTTCCTCACCACTTCAATAGTAGTTATTTGAATTGTCATTACATCTTGCTATTTAATGTGTTAAAGCAGCAATATGTTGCTATATCACAAATGTATTTGTAAATATTTTGATAACTATATTTCAATATATTTGTTTTTTTTGTAGTCCTATGTATTTTATTTTACACATTTAAAAACATTATCTGATAAGGGGTCCATAGATTTCACCAGACTGCTAAGGGGTCTATGGCACCAAAAAGTGTTAAGAAACTCAGTTTTATTTTCTCTCAGCCATACCAGGCTAAGGCTGGAGCTGAGGTGGGGTGGAAATTGGAAGGACTCAGAAGTCCTGCATTCTCATACCAGCTCTACCATCCACTTAGCTGTGTGACCTAGGGCATGACTCTTTGTCCTTCTGAGACTTAGTCTCCTTAGCTGCAATAACGGTGAGGGTACTATCTGCCCCTGCTAGCTTATAGGGTGTTTTGAAGATCAAATGACACCGCATGTGTACACAGTTACCTTGAAAACACTTTAAAGCACCATATACTTATTTATTGAGGAATATTAATGAGTTAAGGTTGCAGAGGTCTGGTGCTGCAGAATACTGTTAATCTTAGAGTAGTCTAATATTAAAACAGACTTGGAGTAAATGAAATTGGACAGAATACTCTTTAATATGTCCTGTATCTCATTTTCTACCGAAGACCTGACATCATCTCCATAAGGCTCTATAGCCTTGGATGCTCATACCTGTGTGTAATTAATTTCATTTTGTTTCCTCTGTTGCCCCAATTAATTGCTTTAGTGTGCCTTTGAGATCTTCCTCCCGTATAGAAAATTTAGGCAAAATAGGATCTTCAGAGAGTATTACCAAATGTGAAAGACTGGGATTATGTTCTGGATCTTGGACTATGAGAGAGAAAGTAAGACCTTCCTAGCCTTGTTGTTAATAGGATGTGGTCTGTCCTATGATGGGAGGGGGTGGAATTGGAAGGATACTGGACACTGTATCATACCACAGCAGAAAAAAGGTTCCTCCTTATGTCAGACTTGGGCCAGGATGTTACCTATTTCTGAGGGAGCATGGTTCAGTCAAATCTGAATTTCTCTGAGCCAGCAGCTCTCTTAACTCATTCTGTAGCCCTGTGAGATCTCTAGTACTGGAAAGGTAGCTCCATTGTCATTAAGGCATTGTTAGTATGATTATCAGTTGAGTAATAATTATAGCTATTTATTGAACACTTACCATTTGCCTGGCACAGTACTAGGCACTTGACATTGAGCAAAGCCTCACAATGACCCTTTGAAAAACCCACCCACTGCTGTCAAGTAGAACTGTCCCATAGGATTTCCAAGTCTATAAATCTTTATGGAAGCAGACTGCCACATCTTTCTCCTGCAGAGCAGCTGGTGGGTTCAAACCACGGACCTTTTGGTTAGCAGCCGAGTGCTTTAACCACCGTGCCACCAGGGCTCCACGACCCTTTGAGGGAAGTATATTTAGACTCCCACTTTATAGATGAAACAAAAGTCTGGAGAGGTTAAGCAACTTGCTCAAGGTTAGAGTTAGAACGTGATCTTGAGCCCCGTGGTGTAATAGAAAGAGCACAAGTTTTGAAGCCCAGTGCACTTGGCTTCAAATCTTGGCCTTTGTTACATACTAGCTGTGTACCTCAAGCAGGTATTTTACCTTTCTGAGCCTGTTTCCTCCTCCGATCCAGATTCAAGCTTCCTAACATTTGTGAAGCCTTATGATGTCACCAAGCAGATTCTGTCATTACCTCCCCTGTGCTCCTGCAGCACCTGCTATATGACTGTGTCATTTAGCTGGCACCGAGTGTAAATGCTTGAGGGCAGAGGTCACGCTTTATTCAGCTTTAAATTTCTATGAGCAAGACTTGCATATAGCAGGTGCCCTATAATGGCACTTGAATGAATAATGTGGGGTTTATAACAATACTTACCCATCAGGTTGATAAAGAGGTTAAGTAAAATATTAGAATTTGAAAGTAAAATATTAGCAGTAGAGTTTTGAGTTTGCAGTTGGACAGACCAAGATTTATCTCTTGTCTGCCTCTTAGAACCTTAAGCAAATTACTTTACATTGCTGAGTCTCAGGTGGAATATAGAATAATACCACCTACCTTTCAAGGCTGTAAGAAAACTAAATGATAATATATGTATCTTTCCTGGTAAACAGGAATCACTAATCAATGTTAGCTTTTATTATTAGTGCATTATGAACGTACTCTGTATACGGTGCTTCACAAATAGTTATTTAACCAACGTCTACTGAGAACCTACAATGCACCAGATTCTGGGGATGCGGCAGTGAACGAGACAAATGAGGGTCTTGTTTTCATGGAGCTTACGCCTGGGGGCAGCGTGGGAGGTGCCTGGGGCCCAGGAAGTAATAGTTCAGGTCTCAACAGCAAGCCATCATTCCCACCTTATCTACATCACTGGCAGCTGGTCAACACTGAACATCACTCTGGTGGTTTTTTGGCTGAAGGATTTAAGTTCAGCGTTCTAAAGCCTATCCTTCTAGCTCCTTGAAGACAAGGACCAGCCATACTCCTTTTGTATCTCACAGTGCCTAGCAGAGTGTCTGGGACAAAGTAAATGTTTGTGATACACTTGAACAGTTGAATTTCATTCTTGAGCCTCAGCAACATGATATAACCCCACAATTCTAGGTGTAAACACAAAAACCATTTTTTTAAGTAAGGGTAAGGTCATCACATATATAATGACCTTAACTCTTTATTAGAGACTCACTAATCATAACTCTTTATTGTAGACTCACTATAGGTCAGACATGGAATCTTTACAACCATTCTGTGAGGTAGATACTATTTCTCCTTAATTTTAGCTATAAGGAAATTGAAGCTCTCATTGTGTCCATGTAACCTGCCTAAAGTCACAGGTAGAAAAGTGACTTTGGGCTGCATTATGGCACAATAGGTGCTCAGCAGATGTTAGCAATTGTGGTGAAAAGTTAAGCCAGGTCTAGTTGATGGACTGTCCAGGACAGCTGAGAATCCCAAGGGCTCACACATTTCTACTAGGTAAGTCAAAAGGTCTTGTGAATCTCCCCTGTCTGCTCAAATAATACAGTTTATTCTGCATTATGTGAAAATGATACATTTTTGGCTCAAATTAAAAAAAAAAAAACCTCTATATAACTTGAATACAGATATGTCTAATTTTCTCTGAAAAATAACTTTTTCATTTGCACTGAAGACTGCAAAACATTTCATAGATGTAGGAGGTGGTGTCATAAATGAAGATTATACAGGTAACGTTGGTGTTGGGCTGTTTAACAAGCAACTTGGTAATACTGACAAATCAGAACGGGAGATGTCACAGGACTAGGAAGGGAGACAAAACAACATTTGTAAAACAATTCTTCTGTTAACTATTATAAGGGAAAAGTTGACTACGTATCTTGGAAAAATAACAGTTAAGCTTTCACAATTCTGGAGGAACAATAGATCCATAAATAGCACTGGGAATTTGTAAGGAAAAATAGCTCCTTTAATAGATTTCTACAGTGAATGGAAAGGATTGTGAGAGATGGCATGTGCCACAATTTGATTATGTGATATAATGCAAACATATTCTATTTTTATATGTTGTAACAACTCTGGGCTAGTATATTCAAGCAGGCTGCGAGAAGTACACCTGGACGAGATTGGTGGCAATCAGAGAAACAGACAATTTTAGTACAAGGAGATAAAGGGAAAGAGAGCAAGGTGTTTGGGTATGGCAGTTGTTGCTTTAAAATTTTATTTTATTAAGCGTATTTAAATAATAATTGATAAGTGGAAAAATTCCCTTGGTTTCATACGTATTAGTAAAATAAGGCATTCAAGGAGCCCCTGATGTGGGATGGATCCAAGCCTTCTGTAGTGTTGGTGACAGAGAAGCTTCAGTGTAAAAATAACTCCAGTTTACTGCTGGTGCCACAGCTGGGGGCTTGAGGGAGAAGCCAACTTCCAGCATGAATGAGCTGCCATGAAACCCTATTTCTAGTTGTCAAGGCAGAAGGTTTAGCATCTTCTGCTAACATACTGGTAACCCAAAGGAATAAACTGAGATGATCTACTGAGGGACTACACAGAGAGCAAGTTATTCAAAACAGAACACAAAACTAAGGTATAAAAAAGGAATATTTATCTTTTAAAAATACAACTTTGAACACTACTGACGTCTTATTTACAAAGTATTTTCCTGAAATACTCTCCATTGGTTTTGCTTACTTAGTACATTCTCTTTTCTTGAACAGAGACTCAAGGGAGGGCACGCTTACATTATTATAAGCACCACCACCAAAAAATTAAATTAAATTAAATTAAAAAAAAGACCAAATCCGCCTTGGGATATGACCTCCAAACCCCTGTACGTTCCCTTTCTTTTCCACCAAGCAGAATTTTCTGCCTGGTCCACACACTCTGCCATTGCAATCTGCTAAAGGGCACCACCCAACTGGAGGCGTCCCGGCAACCAGCACTCTAGGTGGAGCTGACCTGTTTGCAGGAAGCCTCACACACCCAGGGCCCATTATTTATTAATTACTAAGCGTTTTCTATTAATACTCACAGGACTCTTTGCAAACATTCAGCATGAAGTAAACAGTATTTACAGCAGTACATGGTTTGCAATTCTACACACTGACAGCAGAAGAAAAGGGACCAACAGACTTTGTAAGTTGGCCAGAGGGAAAGAATATTAAATCTCTTCTGCTAACCTGTGTGTGTGTGCGCGCGCGCGTGCGTGTGTGAATTCATAGAAAACTAAACATGCCCTCCTTTAAAAGCAGACTATTTACAAGGTGATTCTGAAGAGCATGTACACATGCCAGTCATACTGGATACTTGCTTTCCGTGAATACGTCTAGATTTATTTTTTAAAATTCTGAAATAGACCTTTTATCTGCTATATTAGAGAAAATAACTTTGGAACATTTGTCACCGTTTGGTTCATAGTAATTTAACAAAAAGCCACAAACCATGCTTTGTCGTTTAAAAGGTGAACATGGTCAAGCACCTTCTAGAAGACACTGATGTTATTCTTTCACTGGCCTACTGGAGATCAGAAAGACAATGTCAGTGATATAGAGTACCTACCTAGTGCTCCCCTCATTCCTTTCACCAGTAGCAACATCAATGTGAAGAGACGTTATGAAACACAAATCACATATAAATCATCAAAACATTTCAGTTAACAGTGTTTTAAAAATAGTAAAATCTACAACAGTAGTACAGACACTGAAAACACTTCACTCTTTAGCCTCAGCACTTTTTCAATACTATTTTAAACAAAAAGACAACCAATTGACAAAAAGGGGAGGACGTTCCAGCACTTGAGGCTTGAGTCAATTTGTTTTTTAGGGCCTGTAGCTCAAGGTGCTGTTCTAGGATCCTTATTTTAACTCAAAAGATAGCTCAGGAATGAATTGATAAAGCAAGTTTCTACTTGAAAACCACTGAAAATACAAATCACGTTCTAAGCTTGTCCAACACACATTTATTTTCAGGATCCCAAGTTGCTAAGTGAAGGGATTCAGGTCAGTTTCAAGCCCTCAAAGCCACAGAATTTCCACCTCTTCTCCAGGCTGGCTCCAACTCCAGTCATTTCTTGCTTGAAGGTATGCTGGAGTCTACCCATGAGACATTCCACGTCACTGGTGCAGATCTGTGGGCCAGAGAGGAAGGACATCTCCATTCAAGACCAGCTCCATTTTCCTAATCTGCTGCTGCTTTTCCAATATGGCCGACTTTAGAATGCTGATGTGTGTGTGTGTCTGTTTGTTAGGGGGGTGGGTTATCCTTCTCCCTCTTGGCGTGTGTGTATGTGTTGGGAGAGTGGTTTCCAGACAGCAGCATACCTCTGCTGTGACCGCCAGGCAGAGTCGACTGGGCTTTCTACTAGAAAGAGCTGGTGTCAGTCGCATGGAGAGGTTGGGATTTGTAGCCAACTGACTGACAGCTGATCAGTGCTGGTAATGCTGTGTGCAGGCCCAGTGAAGCTGCAAAGCCTTGCGGGAGGGGCGGGGGGCAGACATGGCTGCCATCAGAACAGAATTGTTCACACATGAGCTCACAAAAGAAAAGAGACAAGGAACGGGGACTGCTCTGTAGTCCTACTCCTGTACATTATCTCCTGCTCCCCTCCCACACACAGCAAAACAAAAATCAAAATGAAGGCAAATCTGCAGACTCCTTTAGGGCTTGTTTCAGGGGGGTCATCTTTACCACAGTAGCAGCCTTCCTAACTGTGAACCCAGGCGCCAGGGCTTGCCTGAAGAGCACCAGGGGATTCCTAAAGAACCCCCGAGTTGTTGCCATACTGAATATTCCCGAGGTTGGAGGGAAGGGTACCCCTGATTTTTGGTACCACTGCAGGCTCCTTTTTGGAGGCCCTGACACTCCTCTAGCAGGAAGCTGCTAAGGAAGAACTGGGCCTGGGCTAGGAGTGAAGTCATGCCTTCTTCCCAGTGCTGGTAGTACTGGATCCAGGTAAGTGAAAGAAGCACATTGTAGAATATCAGAGAGAGTAGAACCTCCATTTCAAAAATCATAAATATGTAATGTTTATAGATATATACATAATATATAGGTGTAACATATGTATAGAAAAGGGTCTGAAATGAGATATGCCAAACTGTTAGCACTGGTTATCCCTGGTGGCTACAACTGTGGAGGACTTTCCCTTTACTATATTTCTATATTGCTTATGTTTAAAACATTCTTTTTGCAATTAAAAAAAGATCCAGATTTTTTTTTTTTTTTTTTACTGAGGTATAGTTCAATTTCATACCACTCCAGTCGACCACTTGGTCCCGGTACTCACACTCCATTCTCCCCATCACTGTCAAATGGGCTAGTTAATTGCAAAAGAGCACCACTTCCCAGAAATAAATGAGGGGGATTCATTCACAGCTGACTCAAGGGGTTACTAGAAGTAAAAGCAAATGCCATCCTGGAGGATGGATTAGCATAGCTGGAACCTGGTCAGAGCAATAAGATGGGGGACTTGTGCCTTTGTAAAAGGACATGCTTAAATGGTTTAACATTTTGGACATCCAACTGTCAGGAATCTGTATTGCAATGGCATTTCTCAAAGGGGCCAGATCCTGTGAAACGTTGAGTATGATCCATGAGCAGGTTTAACTGAAAGCTGCCTCTGAAAACATGTATCATGAGCTTATTCATTCTGAGGGGTCAGGAGTTGCTTCGTGCCTCCAGGAGGCATCCTTGACTTCCTAGGGAACTGGCACTTACCCTTGCTCCACATGCCCTCTGAGTTCCCCCGAAGGAGAGTGTCCAGGAAAGGAAATGTCCCAGGAGCTCAGCTGTGAGCAAATATTCAGCCTGGGTTACAGAGGCCCTCAGTTCATTTTTTGGTCTTTTTTTGCCCCTGCCCTGATTGTTTCAGAGTAGATAATGCCAATGATGATGGTAATGGTGGGGGAGGTGACTGAAACAAGACTTCCAGTTTTGGAAATTAACATTTGCTAATGGATAAAGGGCCAGGATACAAGTTTGACTGGTAAGAAAGCTGATGTTGGTTAATTTGCAGCTTATATGTGAAATAAGAGAAAGGAGGAAAATTCTTCTAAGATGTACTGTGAAAGTAGGGTAGCCAGCTCATCCTGGTTGGCCCAGGACTTCCCCAGTTTTAGCACTGAAAGTCCCAAGTCCCAGGAAACCCCTCAGTCCCGGGCAAGCCAGGATGATGGTCACCCTGCTCGCAAGCAAGAAGCTCTACACTGAATCTCAATAAGAGAGTAGGCAAGGGGACTTTCCTTAGAGCAAGAATTAATGAATGACTTATTATGCTTGAGGACAGTAGGGTCACCTGTTTGCAAAGAACCCCATGCTGCCTTGCATCCCCATCTCAGGTCTCCACATACCTTATTATCAAGACGGTGCAAGTAGGAACAGATGTATTCAATACTCGCTCCAAATGGGTGAACATGAAGGAATGTGGAGATAATCCCTATAAAGACAACGCCATGGAGGTTACACTTGAGAATTGTATTCCTGGAGATTCCACACGATAGTGAATAGGAATAGCTAGCTTATATGTACAATGTACTACGTGCTGGGTGCTATTCTAAGTTTACGTATTTGACTTATTTAATCGTTACGACCCCACGATGTAGGTATTACCATCCCCATTTCACAGATAAAGACACTGAGGCACAGAAGGTTTAAGCAAGCAACTTGCACAATGTCACACAGCTGGTAAATGGCAGAGCTGGAATTTGAACCCAGATAGTCTGGCTCCAGAAATAGGGTGACCGTGCTCTTAATCACCACACATACTGCCTCTCACAACACTCTACTGCACATAGAAAAGCTGGCATTTGAGGAGTCACTTGCACCATTCCTGATGGCTAAAAACCATTTAAGTTCTAGAATGTTACAGTGAATTTAGATGATTGTGCTGGGATTCTGCAGTTCCTCTGCACAGTCTTTAAATTGGACGTTGGCCTCTTACGCATTAATAATGTCTTACTGTTGTAGCAAGCGTACAAATCATGTACTTTGCCTGATTAACCCAGTGCCTCTCACAAGAGAATCTGCTGACTGTGTTTGGGTTTTATTCTGTGAATAGCTCTGTAAAGAAAAGCCAAACATTTCATTCACAGCTGACTCAAGTGGTTACTAGCATTTTGTGCTTAAAGCCCGGAATCTCTTGAAGGAACAGGCTTCTTATAGCAGTTTACAGGCTTCAGGAATGTGCTTTCTTTCCACTCAGCATAACTCTGGGGTGACTGGCAGCTGCTCGTACTGCCTTGATTGTTCTGGCCATCAGGTTAATTGCTGTAGTACTTCTTTCTCTGGCAACAGCTGGAAAACAAATTATTCACAAGTCTCCTATTTCTTTCTTTACATTTTTTGAATTCACCCCTTTCATGAGATCTAGAGTACATCAAATAGACCCAGAAATGAATTTGCCGAAAACTGCTAGGAAATAAAAGCTAAATTTTATTTGGTTCGTAAACAACTTTTCTGTCCCTTTAAGAGGCTGACAAAGAATGGAACAAGTTTAAACTGCAGCTTGAAGTTCACACCAGTTCTTTTGGAAAATCTTCCAAGTGTTAGAGAGCAGGGGGGTGAGGGGAGGCCAAGGAGGAACTGATGGTGGGGTTCAAAATCTGTTCAAAACGGATGCTATTACTTATTCCAGTACCAGTTGGTGTCAAGTTGATTCCGACTCATGGTAACCCCATGCATTTCAGAGTACAACTACGCTCCATAGAGTTTCTATGGCTGTGACCTTTCAGAAGTAGATCACCAGGCCTTTCTTCTGCGGTACCTCCTGGGTAGGTTTGAACCAGGGCTTTGAACTGGTTCCTTCTGGTTTGAACCCCTGCTGAGAATTCGCATTTCTACCCCAGATATACCGACTCAGAATCTACAGTTTAACAAGATCCCCAGGTGATTCTTCTGTATAGCAAATTATGAGAACTGCTGCTCTACTATTGGTTCTCAGTATTGGTCCCTAACCAGCAGCATTAGCATCATCTGGGAACTTGTTAGAAATGCAAATCTTAGTAAGGGTTTGAACCAGAATGAACTGGTTTGAAGCCCTGGTTTGAACCGCCAACGTTTGGTTAGTAGCTGAGCGCTTAACTGTTTGTGTCACTCAGGGACTCCACTATTACTTACAGCAGTACTTTATTCTTAAATGACTAGGTAAATTGCATATCTCTATGCTGATTCTAGCTGGGAAACTTAAATTCTGAAGAAGACAGTCCATGTTCAAAAGAATTACAGATGCTATGGCCAAGAAAGGCTGTCAAGTGCCAAGAAATAACTCCATAGGTTTAAAAACACTAAGCCGTTTTTGTGGGTTCACACCTATAGAACCAATTTAAAAAATTGATGTTCTTTTCTCTTCCATCATCCCAAGACTACTTTCTTTAAAAAACAAAAGAAGAGACACTTATTTTTAAGAATCTTTTCTTCTAGGACTATCTATTAACAGAGGCTTCCTTCTATCACTAGCTCTTCTCTGACAGGTCTCCCGGTTGCCATGCCAATTTGTTAAAGAACTTTGAGTTGGGAAATGGAAATAAGTTCTCACTTTTCTGGAGGACTCAGTGGCAGATCCCCCTGTGCATCTTTATTAACATATCAGAGTGTTAAATCTGAGTCTAATAGCCATTACTAAAGAAGGAAGATCTATTTAAACAATATGCAGAAGCCAGTCAGTGGGGAGGACTTTGGAGTCTGGGCTACCGTGTGGCTCAGCTTTCTAGAATGCAGCTGGGATTATCTACTGAGACCCAAGAACAGCCCCTTTTAATGATGGGTTGTTTTAGGACCTCAGTCTGCCACTGTTCCTCAAATGGAATATAAAGTCAACAGCATTTGTGAATACTGCTGTAAGAACAAAATGGCTCCTGTTTATTGGGGACTTACTATGGGCTAGAAACTGTGCTAAACAATTTATATGAATTACTGTATTCAATATTCACAACTGTCCTTTGAGGTAGGTAATATTATTACGCTCATTTTGCAGATGAAGGAACCGAAGGTCAGAAAGGAAATGACAGGGTTGAGATGGGAAGCCAGGTCTGTTTGATTTGTTAACCATTTGTGCTGTCCTGTGTCTCTGAATGAACGTGTTTTTTAAATATAATTTTATTTACTTTGTTGTTGTTGTTGAGAATATATACAACAAAACATACACCAATTTGATAGTTTCTACACGTACAATTCAGTGACATTGATTACATCCTTTGAGGTGTGCAACCATTCTCACCCTCCTTTTCTGAGTTGTTCCTCCCCTATTAACATAAACTCACTGCCCCCTAAGGCTCCTAGCTAATCTTTCGAGTTGCTGTCGTCAATTTGATCCCATATAGATAGATCTTAAAACAGCATAACGCTCAAGGCAGATATTTTTTACTAGTTAAGCTAAACCATTGTTGGGTTTTAAGAAGACTTTAGGGGGATATTTTTAAGGTTTGATTGAATGAATTTTTATAAAGGAAGAGCAATTCTAGCATCTATTATCTCACCAGAGCCCACCAGTATCCAATACACTGCAGACAGCCTCCTGAGTAATCTGCCAAAACCAAAAACCAGGCCCCTTGCTGTCGAGTCTATTTTGACTCAAAGTGACCCTACAGGACACAGTAGAACTGACCCATAGGGTTTCCAAAGAGCAGCTGGTGGATTTGAACTGCCAACCTTTTGGTTAGCAGCCAAGCTCTTAACCACTGTGCCACCAGGGCTCCAGTAACCTGCCAATAACCTGGAATAACTCAGAAAAAACACGATGTCTCCAGAGGCTTCTTGCCAAACAGGGTCTGCTCTAGCCCGGTCAGTGGAAGTGAGAGGGTTAAGCTATCCTTACATAGAGACAAAAAAAAAAAAAAAAAATCTACAAAGTGTTTTCCCAGCTGACTCCCCACTTAGCATAGTGCTTGTACTGGGGTGCTTGATGTGGCAGTGGCCACAGGGAGCCTGAAGAGGTTGGGTCAGGGCTGGGAGCTGCTGTTAGCATTTTTAGTGAAATCCATACTTGTTCTTACCCTGTTGTCTTCTGGACTCTGGGTCCTTGTACTGTCACACTTCATAAATATTTGGCATATCTTATTAATCTTAGGCAACCTCCTTCCCCCCTCCACTGAACCCTACACTTTGTAAGTGTGTGTTAGCTTCCTTACCCACTAGCAGTGCTTCACGTTCAGATTTGATAGGACTGCTGTTCAGGGTCTTCTCAAGAGGGTAGTCACTATCCTGGCTTGAGGTACACAGTCTAGAAGCACTGCTTTCCTGTGGAAATAATGTGCTTTCTGGGTCAGTTCACCTTATTTGGTCACAGACTTGGCTTAAATTAACTACACAATAGGTAACTTCGTAACATAGGACCATAAAAGCAATACTGTCCAATTTTGATTATTGAGAGGGAAATAGCATAAATTACAAAAGCATCGCAGATAATCTAAAGCTTATTTGACTTCAAAACACAAACACATTTAGACATTATCTTCACAGGTTTTTACACTAAAAACATCCTTAAGTCAATTTGGGATGTCAGTGCTAAAGAGTGAGTCTAAGCCTAATGTCATTAAACATAACTCTGCATCTATCTATGGTCTCCGCCTACACACTCCATTTACGCAGGAAGTGTAGCAGCTCTGGGACATTTTAGAAGCTCTGACAGTATGAGGTAAGTCCTGATCAGTACAGCAGCTTTGATACTTTTCAAGTAAATGCTTGATAAATGAATTTCTCTGGGATTGTGCTTGTTTCTTTAATAGCACCCACAAAACTGGAGAGTGAGTTGGTTTTATGAAGTGGAAGAATTAAAAGCATATTGCAAATGGCCTCCAGAAGAAAACACTTTCAATCATTTGTTCCAACGATACCAAGGTTGCCAGTTCTTAACAGCACTCTGGGGGAAGTCACTGTGCTAGCAAACAGACGCAGGGCCTATCTGCAATGCATCTTCTCCAGCTGAGCACAGAAGCTAAAGAGCATGGGCTCTTGCGGAACTTCTGGCATTGTTGACTTCTGGCTCTTGGTCCACATTCCTAATCTTCTCTTCTTTTCAGAGATGTTAAAATCAGGCAGCTCTGGTCAACAGTTAAGTTCTGGCTATCCTTTTCAGAGGCTAACTTCAGTTGAGTATTCAGGCATAATGGAGATGGGAGAGTTATGACAAGGAGACATCCATCAGTAGACCTTACACACTTTACTTACATAGACTGGGCACCTAATTCATGGCAGTGACACATTAATCTATCCCGATGTTTGCAGCCTCTCTCAGAGGTCCTCGCTGACAGTTCTTACTGTTGTAAGCTCTCATCTGGCAAGGTCCCATCTCGCCCTGTTGCCATTATCTAGCTTTAGAATACTGTGCCTTAGCCTCCTTGTTTGCTTTCTAAGGTTTCTCACCTTTTCGTGTTGGCTATTACTCTCACTTGCAGCTGCTCATTATTACACGAGATGGAGTGTCGGCAAAGAAATGTCAATGTTATAGTTGCACTTGTGTCTCTCCCTTTAATGAAATGATTAAAGGTACTCTGTGTCACGTGAGCTTTCTATGTTGCTGTTTACTTGATAAGATGAAGCAAGGATGAGATGTGCACTCTGGCTTTCTCCAAGAGAGAAGATTGAGGAATTTTAGGTATGGTTATTATTGTTGGTAGTTGTCATTGAGTTGATTCCGACTCATAGAGACCCCACGTGACAGAGCAGAACTGCCCCATAGAGTTTTCTTGGATGTAATCTTTATGGAATAAGATTGCCAGGTCTTTCTCCCATGGAGTGGCTGGGTAGGTTCAAACTGCCAACCTTTCGGTTAGCAGCCAAGTGCTTAACCATTGTGCTACCAGGGCCCCTTCTTTCTTATTCAGTGAAAACTGTGCTTTCCAGAACCCTCAGAAATGCAAGGACTCACACCTAAAAGCAGAGTTCTTGATGCAAGAACTACCTTGGAGAGGTGCTTTAATCCCAGTTCAGTCAAGCATTCCACACTGATTCCTACAGTAGTAACATTTCTGTTGTCTTTGAAAAAAGAGAGGACAAGGGGAAAGGTTCAATTAGGACTCATGTACCTTTTCTTTGAGATTTTCCAACATTTTTTCGGCCTGCAACTTGTCATCTTTCACTTTTTCAAGTTCAGCTTCTTTCTTTTTGTATTCATCTTGGACTTTGAGTAGATGCTACAAGAAAGACCAAAAACAACCAAGTCACCAATGAAGGAGCTACACTTCACTTTAAAATCCTGGCTGAGGTTAGATATCAGGCTGGCTTGCTTCACTTTTCCCCAACACACACAATCATTTCTCCATGCAGAGATGCTGAAGGATAAGTCAAGATACTTTTCAGCTAAAGTTATTTTATCTGGCTCTAATGAACTTCCTTTGAACTTGTTCATGTTTTTAAAAGGGTCTGAGAAACTAATTGATCCTGTCACTTAACTTCTTCCCTATTCTAGGGAGGAGTAGAGTAGGGTGCAGTTAATACTATGTGGGCAATATCTTGGTTGCTGGTAAAGTGAATTTTATGTTGTAAAGCATTCTTACAGCCGTCAAATCAAGTTCAATTTCTGTGAGGAAAGTAGTAAAGGATCCAAATTTCACATGTTAGTTTCTATATCTGTAGGCAGGGAGTTGGATTCATCATTATTAGTAATTATAACAAATATATTTATTGAGCATCTAATATGTGCCAAGCATTGTACTAAGGGTTTTATATACATGATCTCATTTAAGCCTCGCAATAAACCTGTGAGGTAGATACCATTTATCCCTGAGACTTAGTGAGGTAAGTGGCTTGCCTAAGGCCATTCAGATGTAAGTGGCAGAGCTGGGATTTAAACCCAGGTTGGACCCCAGAGCCCAAGCTCGTAACCACCATATTATACTATATATCTTTTTGAGATAAGATGGGAGAAATTTTATCATTGTTTGCAAGGCTATTTTCCAATAAAAAGTAATCAAAGTGAGTGAAATTAATTCTTCATTAGGTAGGGACCTAATTCTCACTGAGGTCTTTATAGTGATGAAATGGGAAAAAAAAGTCCATCACTTTCAAACTGCACTAAGTAGCAGAACTATCCTTATGTGGAATGGTTTCAAAATCAAGGTAAGGGTCGGGGAGCTAAAAGACAAACAAATATTTCCAAAGTCTTGTTTTCCAGAGGCTTGCAAAAGACCACTGGAAGGGCGAAAAAACATGGTACAAATGTACACTGTCAAAAGTTCTTTGAAGTATAGTGGAGGAGATGCTTTTTTTTTTTTTTTTTTTTGGTAGAAGGATCTCTGACATAATTTACATGCTCTAGTTAAACTCCATAGTGATAGTGAAAGGAAGATAAGCATTACTATACACATTTTGCTAATAGGAAAGATGAAATATTAATGTGATATTGTCATGTAGGAAGACAATGGTAGCAGAAGTGATAGGAATATGGGGCTCCTAGTGCCAAAAGGGAGCCCTGGTGGTGCACTGGTTAAGTGATACTGCTGCTAACCAAGAGGTGGGTAGTCCAAATCTACCAAGCCGCTCCTAGGAAACCCTATGAGGCAGTCCTACTCTGTCCTCTAGGGTCACTATGGGTCAGAATCGACTCTACAATGACAAGTTTTTTTTTTTTTAGTGCCAAAGAGACTCCCTGTTCATAATATGTAATTTCCAACCAGCAACTAGTTTTTCCTTAGATAATTCCAAGGTATACAGTTAAAAATTATTGCACAGTTTAAGTTTTAAGGAAAATGGCTAGTCCTATGGCATGACAGAAGTGGCCAGTACTCTTACAGAAAAGCACTACTCCTTTACTATAGTGAGAGCAGACATTGGTATCTTCCAAACTGTAGGCTCACTGTGGTGATGATTATATAAAACTTCTAGATATTGTGCATCCATTACACAATGTTGTATCTGAATGCAACTGTAGTAAGATGTACTTATTTGCTTTACTTTTTTATACTTGGAATTATGTCCAGGTAAATTAATTCACATAAATGATTGTGAAAACAAAATAAAAGCAAATTTGTATTATGTGCCCAAAGCATTGATACTGGAAAACCCATAAAACCCCTGCTTCTACCTAATCAAGCATAGGATTCCTGCCATTCCTTCTAAAAGTCTGTATTATTTAGAATGCTATCAACTGGATACCTATTCACCAGCACTTTTTCATATCTCAGTAACTGAGGTTCTTCATAAGGACTCAAAGGCTCTGTCCAGATCCTGAAGTACCTTCTGAAGCATAAAGATTAGATTATGTTCAGTGTAGTTTCAATGTTAAGTATTTTTCACTAAAAGCCCATTCTTTGAAAATTGGTGATCTATTGCTCTCTCCATATTAACCAGAATATTTCATTAACCACGCCACATAATCCTTTCCTTAGCCATGCCAGACAACAGAATACCTAGAAGAATAAGAGGTTTGCTGTTCTATTTCTTTGCAGGGGACCCTTTTACAGGTGAGGCACTGATGGATGCCATCCTTCCAAAAGCTCAGAAAACTAAAATGCCTTTACCTGCTGCATTCCTTGCAGGGCTTGTTGCAGGAGTTTCAGCTGCTGTTCCTTGTTTGGGTCATCTTCTCTGTGGGCTTTGCCTTGTTCTTGCTTGAGCAGTTCTACCTCGTTCCGATAGGCATCAAGCTGCCAGCGGAGGCTGTCATTTTCTTCCTTCAGAGCTTCTGCCTGTGATACTAAAGCTAAACAATGTAAAAAAGCAAAACGATATATTCAGATTCCTTTATGGTTCACCTCAGTAGCATGACAATCTGGTATTTTAAATTAAAATGTGTAAAAAGCCTCTTGATGAGGAACTTCAAATCTGAGTTGAAGTTGGACACAAAAGTAAGAGATGGACACAAAAGTACACAGACCCGTTTTTGTAAATGAACACAGGATTTTGACACGTAAAAGTCCTCATCGTGGTTCACATTCTCTACCCCAAATATAACAAAGACATTTTCAGGTAACATTGATGACTTTTATTTGAAAATGTAGCAAATGATAAAAGTCCTGTAATAACAAATTTTAGGGCTAATTGTCTTGAATTGACAAATGCCTACACAATCATTTTGCTCATAGCTATTTTCAAAGAATATAGTTACAGCTAGTGATCTAGAGGAAAGGGAAATGTAAAAAGGAAGACACTTGGGGAAGCGTAGGCTAAATTTAATTATTTATGGTGATGGGCACATTTTTTCAAGGTCAAAAATCATAAAAGTGATTTCAAAATATTTAATCAGAGGATTTTTCATTCATTCAACAAACATTTATTGAGTACTTTCCATGTTCCAGGTTTATGATTATGGTAAAGAAATTATGAGATTTCACTAATCTCTATTGTTTACACAACAAATTAATGGAAACGTTTGTAGTTTATTCTTTTTTAATTACTAATAGAACACAAGGCACAGAAAAGAGACATTATCAAAATGGGTCAAAATTACAAATCTGTATATTAAATGTAGAAGAAAGTTAAAAGGCAAACTGACAAAGGTAGAAATTTTCTCAGCTACTTATGGGGAGGGATTTCTGTGTGGAAGAAAGGAAAAGTGAAGGAAATGAAATAATCCAGATTATTAGCTTATCTATAAATGATAGGAGAAGAGTTTTTTAAAGGGACTTTCAAGGACAAGATTCGTCCTGTACATAATGAATGGAAAGAAGTCGTGCTTTACAAAGATGAAATATAATAGAAGAAAACCGTATTCCAAAGGTTGAAATATTCCCTATTCCTAAAAGGAATCTGCCTCTGGGGAGGTACTCGGTCTAATTCAATACTTTGAACATTAGGGTTTCTCTAAAACTATTAGGTACTGATGTAGACCGATGTGATTAGTTTGTCTATGCAAAGCAGAGAGTAGCAATGTTAAAGGAAGGGTTCTGGTGAGGAATATCTTCTAATAGTGTTGAGAAATTTTCTCAATGTCCCTATTTTTCTCTGTGGATGGTCATGCAATTAGCCCAGTATGGCAATTTTAAACTTCCCATTTTAGTTTAAAAAAAAATTACAAAAGGCCTTTGGCATGACGCATTCATTTTATGTTTGGTTTTATTACTGATTTGAATTCTTGCTGTAATCACACAGATTTTGTGTCTTTGAAGAGAAAGCCTTTACAGAGAAACTTGGATTCCCAGCGACTTGGATTCCCAGCACTCCAAATACTAGTCTCTATCCTTGCTGTCTCTCCCAGCTGTTGGGATACTGCCCATCAGACACACAGTCTTCCTAACAATCACAACACCAAAAGAAGATGCTGTAAGTGAAGGAGATGACTGTATATAGGAAATTGTATGGAAGAGGGACCATTAACTACCAGCCAAGTAGAGGAAGAAACATTTGTTTTGCTTGCTGGGTCAGTACCAAGGAAACATCTTGAGCGGGAGGTCTGCTGAATAACACAAAGGTTACTCTGTAAATCAAGTGACCCCCACAGATGGAGAGTTATTTAATTATGCTTTGGTTTGCATGTTTGTCCTCTGGCAGTCCACACAACTCAATACAAAATAGTGACATTTCATTTTCATCCTCTTGTTTCTTCTTGAACCGCAGGCCAGTAATTATGCTCATGTTATACAAGTCACGTGGAAATACGTGGAAAAGAAAAGGGCAGAGACCTAGGAGAATAGTTAGAGGCAGGTTCTCTAGTTGAATGTGAAAATATTTTCCTTCTGAGAAAATGAGGAGGAGACGCTCCTTCTCTTCTGGAGAAAAGGGCATGCCGATGAGCAGAGGTGGGTCCCTGCAGCCAAGTGGGAGCAGATAATAATCTCCTCAGTTTGGAGCTGTTACTAAGCGAAAGAAAATGTGACCTCCCGTAATGCTACTGAGGGGAACTTACCTACAAAATATATTTCCCACTCTCTGAAATGAGGGGTTTTGTCATTTTAATGAGGACACTAAGTCTTTGCCTTCACAGACTTAATATTAATTGGGCCCATTTCTGAAGTTGGAGTTCTTTGTACATTGCTAGAACATTGAAAAGTTCAATATTACCTTTTAATAATATGTTTGAGCAGGTGAATCCATCAGTCCTGGTACAAAAGATACAGTACAGCGAATGTATTCATATCCCACCATCATTAGTTCTCAGCTTCTCCTTTCTGACTATTCCTATGTGGGAAGAACATTTGTCTTTATGGGGATTGCTCCTCGTATCTGAAGGCTGCCGGCTCATCATGGCTATATGAAAGTACGAAGGCAGCTGTGAATGCCTCCTTTTAGAGGAACCACTCAGAGCAAAATCTCAGACATGTTTTTCTACAACCAAAGATCAAAAAGGATTTTGTGTCGTCAGAAAAAATTTAATGCCTGCCTAGGTTTCTTCAATGATATAAAAGAAACACGCAAACAAACAACAAAATGGAAGTAAATTCAGGAAGTCAGCCACCCTTACAAAGTTGTATTATGGGAGATGCTAAAAAATGTTATCAAGTGATAGGTGGAAGAATGTTTAACATTCCCCTCAAGGCTCATCAATGAGTTTGAGCTAGAGTGATTCACAAAGGGAAAAAACCAAAAAGAACAAGGAGTGGGAAGACAGAGAGGGAGATGGTATGAGCACGAATTATTGGGGGTGGTTCAGACAAAATCTCAAGTGGGTTGCATGACCTCACAGTGCCTTGCTTTTCTTGCTTCTTGTCTTAGTTATCTAGGGCTGCTGTAACAGAAATACCACAAGTGGATGGCTTTAACATACATTTATTCTCTCACAGTCTGTTGTTGTTAGGTGCCGTTGAGTCGGTTCCGACTCATAGCGACCCTGTGTACCACAGAACAAAACACTGCCCAGTCCTGCATCATCCTCACAATCGTTTTTATGTTTGAGCCCATTGTTTCAGCCACTGTGTCAATCCATTTCATGGAGCGTCTTCCTCTTTTTTGCTGACTCTCTACTTTACCAAGCATGATGTCCTTCTCCAGGGACTAGTCCCTCCTGATAACATGTCCAAAGTACGTGAGATGAAGTCTCGCCATCCTTGCTTC